TACTCTGGTCACTAGAATTGTGTTATATTCAGTTTCTGTACTCGCTTGCATATTACATTTAAATTCATTTTTCTTCTCCTGTTTCTAGTAGAGAATGAGTATAACATAATTCTGGAGACCAGAATAGATCTACAGACAGAAGAATGTTTGTTAAAGTATCATGAAAACTAGATACTTCAGCGAAGATTTTTCTGTCTGTAAAACTATTCTGGTCACCAGAATTGTGTTGTGCTCATTCTCTGTTAAAAATAGGAAAAAAATTGAATTTAAATGTATATAGAAGCAAATACAGAGAATGAGCACAACACAATTCTGGTGACCAGAATAGTTTTACAGACAGAAAAATCTTCGCTGAAGTATCCAGTTTTCTTGGTACTTTAACAAAAACTCTTCTGTGTGTAGATCTATTCTGGTATCCAGAATTATGTTGTACTCATTCTTGGGAAAATGTTACATGCTTATGAAGAATCATTAGAACGTGCAAAAGATATTGGATTATTATCTGAAGTACATAAAGAAATAATTCGTATGCAACTTGAAACCGCTTATTGAGAAAGAATGAAACAAATCTATGAAGCTGTTGAATGTCGATTATATTATCAAGTTGCACTACAAAATGCACGAAAAGATTTTGAAAGAACCAATATGATTAGTTGGATCACAAGTGAAGTTAAAAAATCAATAGCTGCTAAAGAAGAAGAAGATACTTTACGAGCATGTCTTAATCAACTTAGACAAATTGCTTCACAAACACGATGAGACAACATCAACAAAAGACATTCTTTATATATTAGAGTTTTTTTCCTTTAATCCCCTTTTCCGAATTATAGAAAAACAGAATCAATTAGAAAGACATTGATTATATTCCTTCGATCTTTCTTTTCTTGTTTTTCAAACATCTTGTAAAAACAAAGATAAAGAAACAATATACAAAAGATTTTCAAGTCAACGAATTATTTGTTATTTCATATCAATATATAAACATCGATTCAATCGAAAGATTATTCAAAAAAATCATCTGTTATATCTTTTCATTGAATTTATTTTCCTTTATCAGTCATTTAAATTAGAAAAGTGTCGTAACAATGGTTGTTATAATGACTTGTCGACGAATTTTCCGATGAGACATTGAAATACATTTCGATAGAATAAAACTCATTTAATAAATGATAGTTCAATCTAATCATCACAATCGATATTGTTTTTACTAAATTTAATTTAGATCAAATATCATTCTTAATTAATTTTAATCTCTGTTTTGAATATCATATTTATGTATAAAAAAAGGAATTAGTTTATATGTGATTTATTTTTAACTAAAAAATAAAATAAAATTTTAATAGAAAAATAAAGCAAATTCTTCGTTTGTTACATTTATTCTATATCGATTAAAATTTTAAAAAAACGTAAAAATTAAATATTCATCAATTTGGTATTAGAAGATTGATGAAATATCTGTCAGCTATATAATCAGATTCAAGGTTATTTTTATTTCTTTTTCAAGGATCAAAATAAAAAATGATGAAAAGATCCTTTGAATTAATCTTTATCACGGACAATGATTTCTTCTTATTTTTCATAAAATTAACAAAGAAAATCTTGCATTATTAGAAGAGAACGATATAAGTTCTCTTATAAGCGAATGTTTTTTTTTTGTCCGACTGAGAAAATGAACTGTCAATCGATATGTATAACCTTTATTAATAAAAACCTTCTCTCGCTGAAAAAAAATTACTTCAAACAAATTTTGTTTTTAAAAAGAAATAATTGACTCGTACTAAAGAGTAGTTCAGAGAACAACAAACCCGTTATATGACTGTTAGTTTGTTTCATCATACATAGATTAACCGATGTATTTAAAATGGTTCTCATGTGATTAAATAGAAAAAACGATTTCCTACTAAACTGTGTCTCCAATTTCTTTTTGGCAAAGTCACTCAAACTAAAAATACTTCGCCCAAGATGTGACTGTGGAATTCTTCTTCTGATAGACTCAGTTCGTGAAATCTACACTTTAGCCAAATGAACGAACACAAACATTATGCATTTACTACAGAAATCTCGTGCATAGTGCTGTAAGCTGAACGGCTGAGCCACAGCTGTTGTGACACAAATGAAGATACTTGGTTTGTGAAAATTTTCGACTCATAGGATCAGTTTGTGGAAATGTTCTTCGGGTAAAAAAAACGAACAAATCTGCTTTTAATCGGCTTTTTGTGCTTTAAAATTAATTAAAATCAAACGAAACTTGTCTTTGATGCTGAAAACCAAATTTTAATTGGTTCAATCAATAAATGATCGATTTTAATCTATTTTATCGGCATTCCTTTGTATAAGTATTATTTAATATAAAATTCCGAAGTATGGCATAGTGTGTCAACGAATGGTCTAGCGTTGTATTTACCATTTACAGAGTTGAGGAGTCCGAGAATCTACAAAAATTTGACACTAATGCATTTTACGGTCATGGTAATTAAAACTGATTAGAGATTGAAGAATCTGATTTAAATTAGACTAAAACGAACTTTTTTATACACGAATGTCTAGTTTTTTGTCAGCCAGTTCTCTACGAGTATTTTCTATCATTTTCATTTTAAAATCTGCTGAAACCAAGAATATTTTAAAAAGGGTCGTCGAAAACTTCGAGCCGCTGCCAATCAGCTCATCGGCTTACATCTCTGATCGTACATACTGCACGGCTAGTTTTTTCCTTTAACCTGTGACCCGGCAACAGACATACAGACACTCCATCATATGTATCTAGATAGCCCTATATCCTTATGTCACATATAATTTTATAGTCGATATAACCTTTCTTGATTGTGTTCGTCTGATCTTTATCCGTTGACGTTTCACCCGGCACAGATACACTGAATATTATATATATACATCGTGTCGAAGTTACACTTTTTGTCGAAGTTATTTTTCATGGTTTAATTAAGTATCAATTATCAAGAAATGATCATTATCATGCTAAAGCATATAGTTAAAGTTGATTTTTCAGCTCAGCAATATTTACAGCTACATTTATTGATAAATATTTTGAAAAGTGT